ATAGATTCAGATGTGATTTTCTTGTTTAAATTTAAAGGAAAAAGTTATTTGTCCCGAGCTCTCTCTAAAAGCCGTACGAAGTGATCCGTGTCCTGTTTGTATTTTTTTCTTTTAAACGTGTCTCTGTACCGAAAACACAAAGTAATAGTCGCTTCTCTTGCTTTAATTACACGTGTTGGGACTTTGTGGTTCCGGGGATGATGGAGGGGGACGAGTCTCATTCCTTTCCCTAACAAGACCCAACAGGACCGAGAGGAACGAGACACTGGTTCCTTCTGTAGTCCTATTAATCATGTAGGAGCTCTGTAACATTTTAACTTGAAGCTACTTGGAAAAAATAAAAAAGTAAACAGCTTGTAGGGGGTTTCAGATTAACTTTAAATTCAGTTAGGAGGAAATAGTTTATGCAAGACTGCAGCTGGAGGGTCCATTTTAAGTGTTAAATGCATTATTTTTTCCTCTCACTGAACTGGTTTAAAGTGTTTKTTTTTTCCTTTGTGGGGGGAAAATACAAATGTATCTACTGATTATTTCATATTAGTGAATTTATTCTGGTGTCATTCATGAGTGTGCTCCTGCAGGGAAGGTTYAGACTGGTTGTGGTGGAGTTTCTTCTCATTTCAAGTCAGAGGACAGGTGTGTTTTCCATCAGTGTCCCGCAAGGCACATGCCTCAAAAACCTGTTGTGTTTTGTGACACAGAGGGAGTGTCTTAAGTGATGACAATAGCCTTCCTGTGAGCAGTGTGGTGCAGGGGCAGACGATGGCGAGCAGAACTAAAAGAGTTATCCTATGTTGTCATGTCTGTTGCAAAAGTAGATGCAGGTAGAGACACGTCCTGACACTCCCTTTTTTTTTATCAGGAAGGGTTAAACCCATTATTAARAAATCTCCCAATCGCAGAAGGTGCAAGGAGGGACCAAATGAGGTTTTGACAAGTTTGGATGGAAKCATCGGAGTTGATGAGGATGAATAGTTCAGGGTTCATGAGAAGGGGAAGGGAAGGAAGCACCACCGGTTTGTTGCTACTTTTAACCTTTTTCCTCCTCCGCTGAATGCTTTAATGCCTCAAGGTTGTATGTGCAATTATCTAATCTGGATAAACAGCTTGAATTTTGTTAGAGAGGGAAAAAATATAGGACTGTCATATAAACCGAAATATTTTAGTCTTTCTCTGCTTCTCAGTTTGACGACGTCTTTTCTGTTCAATTTATCTACTTTATTGTATTTTYTTATACGACTGTTCTGTGCTCCTCATTTCTATGTTTCTCCCACTCTACCCTATCATTCTATGTATCTAGAGTTGTTTCTTTTCTGTTGTACGGTGTCCTGAAAGGCGCTTTATAAATAAAATGCATTATTATTATTATTATTATTGTCGAATCAACATCAGAGATCCTCTTCCAGTAAACCCTAAATTTGCTACATTCCTAAACAGCAGCTATGAACTGTTTTCTCAGACCCCCCTCATCCTTGCTTATGTGTTTGTTGTGGTGTTGATGAGGTGTCATTATGATGCTGTCAGGGGGTCTTTATGCACTATAGTGGTCCTCAGAAACAGTAAATGGGATTTAGCTCAAAATTGCAAGCTGAGGTAGCCAAAATGGTGCTATTAAAAAAGGCTGGTGCTGATTAATTGATGGCAGCCATACAGTATGTGTGTATATATATATTGTTTTTATTTTTTCAGGTTTACATGAAATATTAGAAAGTATACAGAGAAGTGATGCCATAGAGTTGAGCAACAAAGGGCCAAATGTTTTTGTCTTTAGCCATCTCCTTTCATGGTTTTGATTTGTTCTGCTCAGACTGCAGATCACAAAACTAATTGACACAAACTTTGTCACATTTAGTCACATAAATCAATTTGTAAAATGAATGTATTTACATTTTACCTGAGAGAAGATGGTTGTCTTTATTAGTGTTGAATTTGCTGTTCGCCCCTTTCAGATTCTGAGAACTGCAACCATATACTGAATGTTTTACTCCCCTTTGTTACCCATACAGCCAATTTAGACAACAGTTGTGTAATATCTGGCTTGGCAGGAGCCACAGGCTTTAGGGTAAAGTCATTACACGCGGGCTATTAAACAGGTGTCATGTTTTTATGTTAGCATCACAGCAAGAACCTGTAAAAACAATCATTTTAAAGCTGTGATTTGGTGTGGAAGTGTTGGTGAACTATGATGGGGTAAAGTCAGCAGAGAAAATGAAAGTTATTTAGTAGTAAACTGTAGCAGCCTAGAGAACACAGTTAAGCTAATTCTTCAGGGTAACTTTGTAACATGGGTCCGTTGTGAATCCAGGATGAATTGGTGCCAGATTCTGGAAATGTGACTAGATTGTGTTGTATCTGCCGGAGCTCATTTTAGGACCAAGTGCACCTATTATGMGCACAAGTCAACTAATATTTGCACGGGTCTGAGGCCAAGCAGTTGTGTGTTTGAACAGTCTTGGTGGGTGCACACGCGCTTGTACAAACAGTCTTCCCAAACCAGACAGAACTCGCTTCTTCTGGGTTGTGCTCGTGGTCCCTGGCGGGGTCGGGGTTGTGACGCAGCTGTCGGGACCAGCTGGGTCCGCCGTGGAAAGTGAAAGGAGGCTAAAGCCAGTGCCTTTGTGTGTGTGTGTGAGTCACAGGTGTGTGTGTTTGTGTCGTGTGTAGAAGAGGATGAAGATGTTTTGGTGGTGGTGGGGGTTGCTATTAACAGTGAAAGGGTAAAAGGGGTAAATACAAAGAGTTGAACAGCTGTCGAGTCAATCTGCGGCTCTCCTGCTCTGACCTCCTTATCACCCGACAGTCCAAACGTAATTTTTGTTTTTATTACAGATGAGAGGGCAGTATTTAGTTTCTGATGCACGTCCCTAGCCTCTCTCCATTTCTGCCTCTTGACTGCCCTGATCTGCCCTCTGTTCTGGCAAAGTGAAAAAGACCCCTGCTGCCTTTTATGGGAAAGGTTTTCCACAGAGCAACTCTACCAAGACCAGACAGACCTGTGGCTGTACGCATTAAAGACAGATTCTGTTCACATGCGTTGATAAGCATACAGGAAGTTTTCTTCATCCACAGATAAACTAATAACTCCAGACTTTGGCTTGTTTTTACCACGTTCACTGGAAGTACAGGAGGCGCTTGTACAGAAAAGTATGAAGGGTCAGGAATTGGCTCAGTGAAACAATGTTTTCAAAAGGATCCTTTCACGAAATTCGGTCCGTTTTTTTTCCAAAAAGCTTAGCGGAGCCTTAAAAGTTGTGAGAACCGATGGTATCTGTAGATGGAAGCTGTGTCCTTGGGTAAAGCTTTTTCACATGACAGAACATGTAGCTCACAGGGCAGAGCYACGCAGACCACATAAATCTGTCTGCACACTCACAAGCAGACTTTTTTTTCTAGTAATGGGAGAAGGAGATAAGGAAAAATATTATTAAACAGACACTCAGACTGTCAAAAGGAAAGTAATGTGTTAACTTACTGAGTAACTGAACTGAGGGTGAAGATGGGCCTGAGGCCTTTTCCTCTGAATAATGAGGTGTTTGCACAGATCAGTCACAAGCAAGAAAAATCAAGGAAGCAGAAGCCGACGACTCAAGTTGTTAAAAATAGAAAAGCAGGTGAAACAGAAAGTGAAGTCATTAATAATTAGCCAGCAGTGTTACCTGTAGTGTCTTTGGGTTTTAAATGACGCTACGAGCTCAGCTGCAGCTGGATCGAAAAAGCAGAACAGCTTGAGAAACGGTTACACAACGAACGAGAACCTGGGTGATGTTGTGAAGGTCTCTGATTATGCAAGTACGTGTGGTTTGGTTCACCGTGTTCTTGCAGAACTCCCAACAAAACAACGTTCATTCTGGCATCTTGTGACAGATAAATCAGGACCACTGGCAGAGAGGGGTTCCTAAATGTTAACAAATCTAAAGGCTGCAGGCTCCGTCTGCGTCCACATGTTGACATGCCTTCCCTTGTTTGCCGAGGTGGGAAAACATGGCGACGCTTCCCGGAGCAGGGAGTTGAAACTGCGCAGGGCTTTTTGAACACCGTTCTCTGGCCAAGACGCCCCGTGCCTCACAGTCCTGTCATGTTTTGAAAGTGTTTATTAGTTCCCATGGTTATCAGCTGGGTCCGAGTCGATCCGCCTCCCCTCTCCATGCCTCTCTTCCCGCTCTGTTCCTTCCTTCCTTTTCAGTTTCTCCACAAGTTTCAAGGTGTCAGATTTGAAATCCACACCACTGTTTTCACACAGGAAAATGCCCTTTTTTCCTTGCACTTGAGCAACTTTTGACAAATTAACCAGGATTTGGCTCCTTCTTAAAAAAATTGCATTAAACCCCCTCATCATTTTGCTCTTAGAGCTCTTGATCCAGTTATGTTTTTCTGTAAATGGAGTTGTTCCTGGCAAAGCAAAACAGAGGGAAAGGATGGGAAGAGTACATTGCTGTGTTTTAACAGAGGGTGTGGAAACACGAGGATGAGGGCGGAAACAAGGGTCAACAGAAGCCCAATAAATTCAGGGAGCAGGATCAAGACGTGGGGAGGACTGGGAGCAGGAGTACGGCTGTTAATCAGCGAGACAAGGTTTCAGCTGAATACTAATCAAGCTGGATCGGTTGGGTCGGTCTGTATTCGGTGTCCGGCCCGTCAACCTTTGACCTGAGAACTTCAGTGCTGCCACARAATCAGACAGCAAACAGGAGGTGGGGGGGGGTTAGAGGTCACCGTGCCCTGGAAGTGAAGGAATGGTGTGATATGTCATCCCTGCGCTAAAACTAGCGCTGCAAGTACAACGTGGTGTGGACAGGCGTCTGTGTGGGAGCGGTGTACCTCAGGTCACCTATCAGCGTTAAAGATCAGACAGAGGAGTCTTTGTGTGGTCTGTTAAAGCTGCCACGTTTCCTGTGCAGAAGAAGGAATGTAGTGTTTTCTGATGTGATTTTTCTCRTTAAATATTGACGCAGATGAGGGTCTTTCGCAGCTTCGTGACCTGCTCTGATCTCTTCTTGCAGGAAGTCGAAGACGAAGCCGAATGGAAAGAAGCCACCAGCGGAAGAGAAGAAGCTGTACTTGGATCCGGAGTTCACGAAAATCCGTGTGGTGGATTTCGACCTGAAGGAGCTGGTGGTGCTGCCCAGGGAGATAGACCTCAACGAATGGCTAGCCAGCAACAGTGAGTGACTGAAACGTTTGACTTTAATAAGAAAAGCAGAACCCGAGGTGCTTTATTCTCTGAACGGGATGTTTTACAAAGCAAAAGGAAACATGTAATTACCAAACCTGTAAGAGCAATTTAACAGTCATTTCCGAAATGAGACGTGCAGGTTTGAATTTAAACCGAACTATTCCTTCAGGCTGAGCGTGTGCTCCAGCTTGGACACTTTTCTGCAGGGACCTGGAGTTGTTGTTGAATGTCCTCATTRCACTTGTCATCTGAAGATAAGGCGTTCCAGCAGTAAAAGCAGTCCAGAACCCTTAACATGATCCAGGCCTGGCAGAGCCCCGAGGCCCGTTCCTRTAACGCCACACAAGGCTTTTAAAACATCTTTTGTTTACTGCCGCTCTCTCTGCAGTGTTCCATATATATACTGAGGTTTATGTTTGAAATGATCAGCTTCATTTCTCAGTTTTTGCTTAAATAATCTCACAAAGGGTGAGTTTTAGTTTGTTTTGAACAAATGGCAAAAACATCCAGGTGCTCTCAGGCGAAACAAGAAAAATGGTTTATTTTGCTTCTKATTATGAACAGATGATGATTTGTTGTTGCTTCCAGGTGATTACGTGATCCGATGCTCTTTGTTGGGAAAATATTTCTGTTAGAAGCTTTTATTGTAAACTTTACACAAGTTGTTTAGTTGATGAAAGAATGTCACCCTGCCTGAAGGATGAGAAATAAATATTCTCGACTGTTCCAGCTCAGACCACTCATTGTTCTTCTGGTTTGCAGCATGACACAATAAAAGCTTTAGTTTTTTGAGTAGAAATATTTCCTTCCGTTTAAAGTGACAACTTGAAARCGATGAGTGGAATGAGTGAATGGTTTTTTTTTCTCTTCTGTGTTCAGGCAGAGATGATTAACACCAGTGTTACGTGAATGTATTTGACCTGAATTAGCAGATGCCATACGACACAAACCAGGTTGTGATTTGGTTTTTCTTATCTCTCTTTTTTTTTTTTTCCCAGCGACAACGTTCTTCAACCTAATCAACCTGCAGTACAGCACCATTTCAGAGTTCTGCACTGGGGAAACCTGTCAGGCCATGACCGCCTGGAACACGTAAGGCGTCTTGTCATCTCAAACACAGCATTCAGACCAGTTTCTCATGCTAAATTCCCACWGTCCAGCTCACGTTAGGGTTTTGTTTTGCATGATTTCTGAATTACTCTGTCGTCATACTCGAACCACGCACACTCCTTTTTAAAGCTTTGAATTGACCTCCTCCTATTTGCCCCAGAACACTTGATTCACTTWTTAAAATCAGATTCAGTCACTAGTAACTACTGTGTGCGGTGAAATGTTACTGTTGTCTGTTCAAAACGTGTTCGAGCATTCATGGTGTGTTTACCGGTTGGGTGGTGACTAACTGTAAGTATTTATCTAACTAGTTTGCCCTGTCCGGGTGTGGTGCCGTTGGTGTTTATGAGCTCTTGTTAGTAAAGAGAGGCCATGATTCCCTCTGTGGTAAAATGTGATCAACTCCGTYGTACAATATCCTCCAAGCAGCTCTTGATCTATGGTTGGATGTAATGCGTTCAAGTCTAAAACATGCTCACTTCTTGAAAAAAGCCAAGTGTTATGACAAAAAAGCCTTACCAGCAGGGTTCGACAAATCCTATTGCCCGACTGCCCGGGGCAGGTAAAACCCATATTTGGGCAGGTGGGTGTGTCCCGATGCCTGCCCGACCTGGCAGGTAAACCATTTCTTTATTTATTTTTTTGTATATATTTTTCATTTATTCGAAATATTCTGAAAATAAATGAAGAAATGCAGCGTTTTAAAACACGTAAAGAAAGAATAAATCCTCAAAATTTCCCCCTCCCACTGTAGAAAATTTACATCATGCAGCGTGTCGCGGGATCCTCTCTCCCTCCCCCCACGCTGCCCGTCGCGCAGAGTGAAGCTTTAACAACCGTAGTTTTTTCACACCCGTGTTTTCAGAGAAAAAAAAGTTTTTTGTGTATTGTTACCCACAGAGATGATAAAAATATGTGGACATTCGTTCAGTCATAAATCCATCTTGCTAATGTCAGCTTCTGCTCTCATGATGAAGATGAGAGCGCAGCAGCAGCAGCAGGTCAATTCAGCAGGCAGAAGCTCATTGTATGGCAGGCCGATATAACATTTATTTGGCTTCACCACACTTACAGGTCCATCTCAAAAAATTAGTATATTGTGATAAAGTTCATTTTTTTCTGTAATGTACTGATAAACATTAAACTTTCATCTATTTTAAATTCATTGTACACCAGCTGAAGTAGTTCAAGCCTTTTATTGTTTTAATATTGATGATTTTGGCAAAAAAGTAAAGAAAAATGAAAAATTCCTATCACAAAAAAATAGCATATTTCATCTGACCAATAAAATAAGTGTTTTTAATACAAAAAAAGTCAACCTTCAAATAATCATGTTCAGTTATGCACTCAATAC